AGTTTTTGGGAGGCTATTTCAAAAGGAAAACGTAAAAGAAAGAAAAGAAAAGAAAAAAAGAAAATGTATGCAAAATATTTGTTTGTAAACAAATACCTAATGGTCACAATGACCTTTGGAATAAAATCATTCGGATTCTCCCTTTTCCTATGCCTCGTCTGGAGCTTCCCAAATGATGGCGCTCGGAATTAATTCCTGTTAAGATGAGTTTTAAATTGATTTGTTTTAAATTTTAAGCTTATGTCAGCATTCATTTTCAGGTTCCATTTTCAAAGAGATATCTGAAATACCTTACCAAGAAGTATTTGAAACGCAATTCACTTCGTGACTGGTTGAGAGTGGTGGCGTCTTCGAAGGATACGTATGAATTAAGATACTTCCAGATCAATCAGGATGATGAAGACGCTAGTGATAACGAATCTTGATTCATCTTTTTTTCTTCCTGTTAATTTGGATTGGTTTTAGCATGATAAATTACAGCTGATATTAACTGTGTGATATGTGGCATGCGAATATTTGAGTTATAATTGGGGATTGTTCTCAACGGTGTTTGGGGACTCTTGTGTATGAAAAAAAATTTCTTCGTGGTCACTCGATTATGCTCTAAGTAGATAGAGACCAAGCCCAGATCTTCTTATTCACTTTGATTTGCTACGACTTTGCAATGCATCGTAATCAGTCATAGAATACCGAGCGAGGTATAGCGTAAGAATCTAAAAGCTGTAAGAGTTCGACTCATTTCTTTGGTGGTAAACGCTATTAGTTTTGTCAAAAGTATGACTGTCGAGTGAGATTCGAATTCTCCATTTTCCTATGCCTCGTCTGGAGCTTTCCACATGATGGCTCTCGGAATTAATTCCTGTTAAGATTTATTCTATTTTCTGGCATGATTAAATAAGAGACTGTCCGAACAGCCATCAGAAAACGAAAGACTGATAACGAGAGACTGTTCGAACAACTATCAGAAAACATCTCTATTATAAGTGGAGATGAAAATGTGTTGAAATACACGAAATTTACATTTTAAATTTATACTTTGTTTTTAAAAGTTTTGGTTTGGGTAGCCCGTCATGGTATTAACATAACAACATATTTAGCACTGAAGAAGTATAGTCAGAGAAAATGCTCTGGATTAATTGGTATTAAACAACGAATAGACTGCATTTATGATTTATAATTTTTGATGACTGATATTATCAGAATATGTATTAGGTACCGAAGCCAAAGATTCTTTCAGTTTATTATATTCCTCACCCAACTTTCTCAAGCTGTATTTTGTACTAGCTATTTCACAAATCAGCGGAAGTGCTTTTATAACATCACGTCGAGCAGCTTTTGCCCACAGCGGTTCTAGAATACCAAACGGACGAAACTGACAGCCCTTACTGGCTTGATTTGGTGCATCATTTGGTACCAAAGAAAACATCCCATTTGAGTTTATTTCAACCCTGCAAACAAATAAAAGCGATTATTATAAATGAAAATTTATAGAAGATGGAATCCAATGTTACGCTTTTTCATTTAGTTGCCAACTGTTTGTTCCATAATTAAATTTTTACTTAGCCACCGTCCTACGAAACATTTGACCGTTTGCGAGTCATTAAAAAATTCTTTTAACTTCTTTTGTGTAATCTATAAATTTGTACCAATACAATTATAGATTGTGAATTTTCCTAAAAAAGCCATGAAATACTTCATTTATTTGCTATTAAGATATCTTAAATAAGGAATGATGAATATGCTAGAAAACAAATATTGAAAAATATCCAAAGAGTTTCGTGAAATTTAGAACTTTAATGTTAATTCTTACAGTACTATTCGCTGAAAGTGACAAATAATGAACTTGAAATAGTTAATAAACCAAACCAAACAACTGGTTCCAAATCGCGGTTGTCGATAAATGCCGCACTTGCTGCTGATAATCCTATAACTGACCTAAAAATCAAACAACTTTAGAAGAAATAGCATGTGTAATTAATCAGAAACTGCTGCCGAAAAATCTTAAATAAAACTATGAGTTGTGCCCTGTCCGATGTTGAAAAGCGATCATCTCCATATGGACAACTACAAGACCTTCTTCACTTCCAACCAAAATCAATATCAGGCCTAATAGCATGATATAGCATGAGATCCGTGATAAGGCTTTATTCGATACACCTGCCATGCAAAAATAGGGCTAAAGTCTCGCCAGCAATAATTAAAAAATTGATGAATTTGTGATTAAACACGGTTTTTTTGACTACCAGTAAATCCTTAACAAATGATCATAATTCACAATCGACGTCAGCAAATTAAAACGAAAATTTTACTTCGTTTTAGATAGGTTGAGACGGTAGCTGTCGAGGATAGCTTCCATCTCTTTATTCAACGCTAAAAATTCCGATCCCAACTGAAATTTACGAATTGCTAAATCATTCAAATTCTTTTCCATTTCGTTCATGTTGATTCAACTGGGAAAGAACACACCCTGTATAAAAGATTGTCACAACACTTTCGAAAACTAAAATCGACAACAATTTAGGAAAATCATGGTAAGTGAATCATGAGAAACTCTGTTGATAAAGTGTCAGATAATTCATTAAGCGCCACTGAATTGCATAATTCAATGTCATCTAAAGTGTATTTGCAGTGAATTCTGAAATAACAATGTTTAGCTATAAACAGAAAATGCAATAAATTACAAAACGTATGAAATGATCCTAGCAAATGCAAAAAACATTTGTCGCAAGAGTGAATCAGTGATCCCAAAAATTAGTAGTAAAAAATTTATTACAATTTATGTTACTGCGAAAATTTGCTTTTCTTATGGCACTTATTCAACAATTATTTTATCTACAGAATTTAGGAATTGCAAATAATAAGAGCAACTATAATTCATTAGCATCACATCTTGTGATGAGGAAAAAAAAGCATCTGGACAAAGGGCACAAAGAAAATGTTTTTTGGAAGCAAACGGCAGATTATGTCATATGATGACTGCCAAACACTAGATAGTATAAACTAACAACTAGATCGTGAACCTGTTTTCAAGAAATGCGTATAAAGTACCTAGCATGCGCAAAGCCAACAGACGAGACATGCGTTACATTACACCCATAATCTTAGAAAGATTAGGTGATCTTTCAACTACCGGCAATAAAATAGGAAAAATGAAAATTGCAAAGCATTGCTTGCATCAAAAAAGTTTATCTGAGGACAAATACAAGTTGCCAAAGATACAAAGAATGACTGTGAATACAGATGTCAAGTGTTAGTAAATAAGAAAAATCTAACCTAAACTTCTCAAAAATTTACAAGTACGCAAATTTCCTTCTTGTAAACCGCAACCAATTCGCTGAAAATCGAAGTCGTACAGTAATATTTGAAGAAAAGTAAATAAAGAAATGCATCCAACCTATAGGGTTTTACAAGAACTTCCCGGGCAACGAAAAATATGGTGTGGAAAACAAAAGCCATACAAGTTATACGTAAACATCAGGAATATAGAGAGGCTTTAGTGAGATCGAAATCAGTGCGCAAAATTTCCTTTCCTGCTTGTATATTAAAAAAATCATGTCATGAAGTATAGGACGAAATCAAAGGAATGCATGCAGTGTAAATAATTAATAATTATTTATTCTTACACATCAAGTAAAAGTAATTTAGAAGTTCAAAACTTCGAAAGAAAGAAATCCAGAAGTTGTGCAAGTGAGATACTTCAAAAGTCAAATTCCTGAGGGTACAACAAAAGAAAAAAGCTGCCTATCATCAAAGATATTTCTTTGAAGTATTATTAATAACAACAGTGATAAGCATATCTTAAAAAGACAGAATATCCCAGAAACAGAGAAATTTGAAATAGTGCTTTGAATTTTTTGGATAACTGACGAAATTCTATCCCTCAATCGAAGTTCCTTTCAAATGCTGTCGCCACTGTTGGAGATATGTAAAGGGATATTGTGCTGCAGCTATTAAACCATTTCGTAAGATATAACCATCACTGGGATCATAACTCAGCACATCACCATTAAAGTCAAGCATTAAACCACCAATCGATCGAAGCAAAGCATCACCGGCACAAGTATCCCACTTTTTAATAGCAGTCATGTGCATGTATAAATCTGAAAGTCGAAATAAGATTAAATAGGCAAATTAAGTCAATAGGCAAATTCAATAAGGATTAAATAGGCAAATTAAGTCAATCCGAGAAAACATCGTCATTTCATTATTTTACCCTGAAGTTGTGAAAAATGTCGATATTAATACAATTTCACCAAATAAAAATCGAGTGAGCAAAATGTAAAATGAAAAATGGAAAATCCCTAATTTTTTTGTACAAATAAAAACTTACCTCCAGTGCCATTCAACAATCTCAACGATTTGTAACCAGAACCTCCAGCCGCTTCAACAGTAAAATTGGAAAAGAAAGCATTCCGTACCAAATCTTTTACATTCCCAGCATGTGATCTAAAAAAAGGAAGTATTATTAGATGAATCAGATAATCTTTCCGTTCAAATCCTTTATTCTTCTGAAACTTGAAAAACGAAAAATGAAAAGTTATTTGCAATTTTGTTATCAGTTTTTTACTTCACTTCTTTGCTTGGTTTCATTTCTTTTTTTATAAGAAATTCTAAAGCATTCAGAATAAAAATAGCTTCGTGAAAGTACTGCCGCCGAAATATTACTTTCATTTCAAACACAAACAAGTTTCGTGGCAATATGAAAGCTAGGAATTTTTGTCATTTAGCACGATCAGCCAATCATTCATTTGGTCAAGAATTCTTACGGCACATATTCCAATACTTCTTATGACACTTACAATATCATTAATTGAAACTATCGTGTTCTTTTTTATTCACAAAATTTTATGCTTAAAACAAACAAAAGTGACTTCTTTTAGCGGCGAAATCTAGGAAATATAACATTTCCAAAAGAAGAGCAATTACCTGGAAACCATTATTAATTTGGAATGGTTTTTCAAAATTGTACGATTCCATTTATTGCCATTTCCTTTTATGATTCCAAAATCATTTAAGCCGTAGACTGTGAAATAAAAAATTGATAAATTTGAAATGCACTGTGAAATGAGAAACAAATGTAACAAAGATCGAAACTATGATTGATTTTTCGATTGCTCTGTAATCTAATAACTAAGCGATCACTGCATTGCACTTTGCTTCAACTAATTTCAACATAGCAAAAAAAGCGTAGGAAAAAAAACAAACTCCTTTCACCAGTGAATGGTCTGTAGATCACACCAAATATAGGTATGTCATCCAATGCTACGCAAATCATCACAGAAACATACTCAAACAGGCCTTCTGCAAACATAAACAGTGACATAAGTTTTATGTGGATAAAGAGGAGAAAAAAATAACTTCTTTGAGAGTTTCTGAAATATATATACGGATAATTAGATGATGCTTATCAAAACTTCCACCGATCCTTTATTAATCGACGCCAATGGGTGAATATCAAAAAGTGATGCACAGATACTTGAAGCTTAAATTTTTTATATTTCTAAATTTTTTGGAAAGAAAAAGAGTTAACAATCTTCACACGCTTTATTTGGATAATTAGGCAAGCGAAATCCAAAATGTCACCTGTAAATTCTTGTGTTGCATCCAATGGGTCAACCCAAACAGTTAACTTTGATAATAAATATTTCCTTGATGGAAATAAATCAACAATAGTCTTCACATTTGTATAAAGTTCCTGCTGCTGTGACTGATACTTTTCATAATCCACTACGCTTAACTCATCTTTCTTTTCTTCAGAAATAACCTGAATTCACGCTTTGCATTTCACTGCAAATGCTTCATGTTTCTTTTATAAATATATAAGTTAAATGCAATCAGATAAATTTGCAATACCTAAAGGCTGATACTTGAGGGTCAAAAATCGAACGTTTCAGTCCGGAGTATGAACAAATTTGATAACGGAATAAATAAGTCTTCTCTTGACCTCCAATAATTTAAAAGAACAAATCCAACAAAAGAAGTCTTACCCTTAAACCTGGATATCTTTTTAGGACGTTGATTATAAGTTGGTTTGACAGTAAATCAGCTGTTGTCAAAAGTTCCGCTTTACCGACATCCATGTCAGATTTTTTGAAAGCATTCAAGTTTTGCTCATCACTAACATCCAAGACAGCACGACTACCTAGTTCTATAGCCAAAAGCACATAACTATAAACGAATTTCTTTTAAATAAAGGTATCATATAATCTGAGCTTATCTGTGATCACTTTTTTCTTTCTAAAAAAAGACCTGAATAATTATCCATTGCTTCGCTTCTAGGGCTTAAAAAAGATTGCTACTTGGCTACAAAACTTCCAAAACAGTCACGTACAGCACAATTATAGACATAGTAAAAAAGAAAAAAAATTGAATATCTTGTAGGCTCCAATTCCTTTAAAAACTTATTCATAAAATGAATTTTTACAAACCTTAGTAGATCATGGAGCTCAATCACAACATCCGGAAAATGTTCCTCTTTTTGCCAAATAAGATATCCCAGATAAAGGAAGAAAATTATGATGATAAATGTCGCAAAATTTGCAGGTTTCAACCGAATATACATCCTAACTGTTTAAATTTCAGGATCAGCTTAATTTTGGAAATAAAAATTCATCGATCCAATGTTGGAATTTGTAGCATTCAGTTACACTCATCCTTTATTAATCCAAGAAAATATGAATAAAGATTTTGTGCTTGAAGAAATATCAAGATTACCAGATTCATCCTTAAATAAAAAAATTTGGAGAATATAGCTTGCAGCGATCTGAACTGCAAAACTAACGCTGATATTGTGACTAGATATTAAAATTAGCGTATTTTCAGTTGCGGTTAATTTGAAATTACTTTTATTTTTGCTTTAAGCTGCACTTGAAATAAATTCATTTCGAATTACGATCTTAATTAATGATAATATTTATTAATATCACTAATATTTCCAACCTTATATTTTCTCTTGATTACTTTTATATCCATGATTCCATCAGCAAATACTATCGGAAGTTGAGATAAAAGGAAGCAATTTTAACTTCCTGAAAATGCAAGGATAAAAAATACGAACATTTCAGAATTTCAAAATAGTTCGCAGGCAAAAAAAAATCAACCAGAAATTATTAGCATATTGTTCAGTTGGAATTAGAATTAGAATTGGAATTGTAATCATAATCAGATATCATAAAACCACTAAGATTAAGACAAAACAAAAGTAAGGAATTAGCAAACTACGGAAACCATCACAAATTCTGTGTAGAAAAAAATTATAACAAATGAATTAGTTTGTTATCGCTATATACCAAGTCAATGGTCAAAATAGCGTAACGCTTTGATGGAAATGTTCCGTGAAATTCATAGTTCCTATTGCGTTCAGATTATTGGATCATTCGTGAAACACGCACTGTATTCCGGAAGATGGAATTATTGAAGAATGCAGGTAACTGAGAGATTCCAATCTTACATGAGCAAAATGTGCAACTGTCTGCCTATGTGAAATTTTTAATAATGCGTACGTCGTTCGTATCACGTGTAATTTCACAAAGATAAGGGGGTATAAAAGGAAGATGTGCCGGTATAATCTTCATTTTCTTTAGTGTGTTAGCTGTAGTGTAGTTTTCTATTAAGCTGCAACAAATTTGACGGTAATAAATGGCTTTTTATGCCGTAATATTACCTAAATTACTGGTGCTATTTTGTCTTCTTAGTATTATTGGTATGTGTTGAAAATATACATCAAAACTTGTTGAATTAAAAAAACACAAGAGTTCTTTTTAATTTTAATTTTAAAATTAATTAGTTTAGAAAGAATTTCTTCCCACAAAAAAAATATCTTTAGATAGTTAATATGTTTTTAATTTTTTTATTTTTGAATTGAAATCTGAGTTGATCAAGATAAAACCAGTGAATGGTTTCATGGCACGATCTGTCATGAAACCATTCATTGGCTTTATCTTGATTATCTCTGGATACAAATCAGATAGTTTTTCAGTTCTGTTACTCTTTGAAGACAATCTTAGATTATTCTTTTAGCGTCATAGATCTTTTGATAGTGCTATCGTTGCTTACCGGACTCGCCTGTAGCATTCAGATTCATTGATTAGTCTATCACTTTTGTAGCTAGTCAGCATTGACTAGGCGGTTACAAGCGTTTTCATTATGTTGTAAACAATTCGCTGCTATATAAGCAAGCCAACTATTGTTGCTGGTATTTTGAATAAGTTGGATTGTTTCCTTAAATGTAAACTATTACCAGAGGAATATCTTTAGTAGCACTGACATTTTAGACTGATAACTTGTTTGGAAAATAGATAAAACTGATGAAAAATTGTAAAATTATTTTTTGAAAAGATCCCAGAAATATATATTTGTTTTTCATCTATTTCTTGATATTTTAATATTTTTGCAAATTTTTAGGTAACAAATTAATTAATAAACAGTTCTTTCCACCCTCTCTGTTTGTTTATCAATAAGCCATAAAACATTGAGAATATGGTAAGACAAAATTTTGTTGTTTGTAAACCGGAATAATAGATCAAAAATTATTATATCTTAGATAGAATTGATACCCAATATGGCAAATTGATCGTTCAAGGAAAAAATGAAGCACCACCGCATGAAAAGAAACCGATCGCTCGAAAATTTTTTATTCCTATGCGTACAATTAATCAAAGAAGTGAAAGTGTTGAGAAGAATGAAAAATCTCATCTCATCCAAAAGTTGCCACCAATATTAAATCTTGATAAAAATCGATCTGCATCTGGACAGCATTTAACGCTTTCCGAAGGAAAAAATTCGGAAAGTACAATCGGAACCGAGACAAATGATCGATCTAATCCAGCAAACACATTTAAGGCAGTATCTTTGCTGGCACACTTACACTCAATGTCACTAGCTAATGACTTTCAGTCAAATGCTCGACAGCATGATAAGGGCTACAATAAAGAAAACGGGGCGATTGATATCGAGAATAAAAATTCAGGATCCCAGAAGCACAATGATGTCGTGGACAATCAGTATCACAACACTGGAAAGTCGCATTTGAATATGAGAGATATATCGGAAATCGACAATTTTACTTTGAAATTGAAAAAGTTGATTGAGAAATCAGTAAGTGGTGCTCTACGTCGAAATCCACGACATGGCCATCCATACGATCTCAAACAAAATAATCATTCTCCTCCAACTTATGCACAAAATGAGACTTCGACGAATGATGTTACTAAAGATGGAAAAGAGCTGAAAATAACTGGGACGATGAGTGTGGAATATTCTTCCGAATTCGCTAATAGTTCAGATTTCAGAAGCTCGCCGGAACCAAAAACTGAGAGTGGACAAGAAAATGGGGTATCTCTGAAGAAAAAACAATCAGCTTCATCAAATACCTCAATAGACAATATCACAGAAAACGTATTTGGAGAACAGTTAAACGGAAATATTACAAATGAAACGGTGACTATGGAAAGTTATTCTGAAAATAATGAGGATTTGGATTCACAGACACGAGAACCTCAAATTAAAATCGATGATGATAATATAACTGATGACTTCGATCAGGATGGTATCAAAGAAGTATCAATCTTATCAAATAATTATAAAGAAAAAATTATCTATGCATCAAAATCTCTCGAAGAGGAGCCAGAAAAAGATGAATCTGACTTTCAAAATAATGCTCCAATGATGGATTTTAAAAGAGCGCGACAACGTATGACTTTTAAATTTAATTTTCGTTTCGCAGAGTTCTGTTTGCTAAAATTTTTAAAGCTGAAAAATTTCCGATAAAATATCCTTGTCTATTACATGGCTTTTCCTGAAGATCATCAGTTCAGATCTTAAGGTAAACATAAAGTAATTCAGGTCATTATTGACTCATCTCAAATGGTCATCACCAGAACATTCTGATTAATGAGGATAGCTAAGCAAACAAATGAGAATCATATTTATGATTGTTATATGTGATATTTTATTTAACATAAAATTGTTTTTCAGCATCAGTAAAAATATTAGAGAAGAAGAGTGATAAAGATGATGTTAAGGTTGGTGGAAATTTTTATTCTTTTGATTTAAACTCATCCTAATAAATTAGAACTATAAAAATTGCATACCGAAGATGCATTTCGTCGAGATAACCAATTCAAGCATAAACTTGAGCACAACAGCGGTTATGATAGTTATGATAGTTACAAATAGTTATGATAGTTACAAATATTATAGTTATGATAGTTATGAAAATACCAAAAATGCAAAATATCAAATCTAAGAAATAACTACTCTGTTATCAGATTTTACTACTAAAAAGTTTTTCTCGAAATTGTTGTTTAACTGTATTTGTAAAACTATGCAAATAACAATTCATTATAAATTATAATAATTATAAAATATAATAATAACGATAACTGAAATTAATAAGATTAATTAAACAATAAAATATGTAATGAAACTATTATTCAGAATTTTTTCAAATTGAACCTTTTTAGATGTTGAAAATTGCTAGTACTCAGGCGAATGCTGCTGGAATACTACTATACGGCCTTCATCCAGTCCTCATTTTTCCACTCCTGAAAAACTTGATATCCTCATTCTAAAGAAATACTAATATGAAAATGAAATCGACAACTGATAATAATAATAATAATAATAATAATAATAATAATAATAACAATAACATCATTGAAAATTAAATATAAATCAATAATTTAAAATAAAAAATCGCTTTACAATTAATAAAATGCTATAAGTTAAGAGTAAATAGACGTATACATTTCATTGCACAATTTTATATTTATTACTTCAGTTAACGATCAGTTAAAGATTTCAGAAAGCATAAAGTGTGATTTGTTGAATGCTTTGGAAGGAATAAGATCTGATTCTAAAATCGGATATGCTGCTAAGTTTCAAGAAGTATAAAATGAATAAGAAATTTCAAAATTCTTTCAACTATAAATTTATAGAATTTTAAGATCGAATAAATTTACTTGTAAACAAATGCGATAGGAATATGCGAAAAGTAATAAATAGTAAAAGGAATGATAAATAATAGTAAGATGAAGAGTGATAAGTAGATGATCTCAGTATCATCATAGATATACTCCTCTTCATCATCTTTCTCACAAAGAAAGCTAAAAGTGATATCATACGAACAAGCGTGATATCATATTGTTGCGCACATGCATATCATAGAATCTCGGGCGTAACATCAAAATGTGAAGATCGCCTTTTCATCAAAATTCTTTCAAATTTTTTGAAAAATATGATGCAAAATTTTACTTCATATATTCATTTACTAGGATAACGTTACATATAATATATATTCTCATGAAGGTCAAAGGTTTGAAGCATTTAGAGCCCAATCTGATGTCATCATGGTAACCAGAAACGATAATTTGCACCACAGTATCTAGTATTGGCTGAACGCCAAGATGGCGGGGATGACAGTATTTTGCCGAAGTTCGAAGGTTAGGATTCCCTCTTCCACCGGTTGTAGGATATATTATGATTTTTTTGCAGGGGAAAATATTCAATTATGAAAAAGTGAAACAAAGAAAGAATGACTTTGGAAGAAAATTGATGGTTCATTTCTATTACTTGTGCGATAGAAATGAATCATCATTTTTCTTACATTTACAGGATCGTTTACCGTTTACATTCGAAAGACCGTTTACTTTTGTAGGATCGTTTACCGTTTACATTTGTAGGATCGTTTACCGTCATACTATGTCATTCAAGCCAACTTGATAATTAAACAATTTCGTTATAATGCGCTGTTTCTGTTATTCTTCGTAATTTTCCTTGCAGCATTTACTATTTTTCTTCAGAAATCATGAACTGGTATTGGTTTGTAATATTACCGGTTGTGTTGGTAAACTGCTACAAATTGATATGCGAAAAAAGTTCAGATGAAAAATCAAAAATTGATCGGTTTCCAAAAGCTTTAGTTTTGAAAGGTAACTATAAGGTAGGTTTGTGCTATGCATAAAAATATGTTAATCTTTTTTTTTATTTTTATTTATTGGAATCAGTCTCTCAGCATTTGAAATTTGATAATTGATTGATACTTGAAAGCAGATTCAATTCAAAAACGACGATTAACTTTAGTAGATTTTGGAAAACGGTAGTCTTTTTTTTTTTAGTTGATGATAAATTGATAGTTGACATGTGGTGATATTTTTTAGCATCATACTAATCCATTTTTCTTGAGATTGTTGAAGAAAGGCCTTAACATATTGCAGATAGTGGTTCGCCACACCAATTGGCTTACGAATGTAACAAGTTTGATGACCGAAAGCCGTAGAGGAGAACAAACTCATATTACAGTCGTCACATCGCATTCAACTAGCACAACACATTTTATTCTGGGAAGCCTCAATTATACCTATAATGGTGAGAATAGTTTTTCTTAAAAACGATTATATTCTTTACGTTTCACTGACCTTCTTGGGCGTTTGGTTACGTATCAGTCAAATCCGTAAAAATGGAAATATTCGAAAGAACTGGTGTTTATGGCAAGACTAGGAAAACCGTCATTCTACACTGCAGTTGGATTGCGGACTATAAAAAAAGCATATGAATCTTAAGCGTCAGAGCCTGTTTAATTCACTCTGTTTGGTATTCCTTTAATATTTTTTTTTATTTTAATTCGTTAGTTTTTAGAAACTTCTTGTGAGGTCTTGCCAAATGCTACAGCATTGCCTGCAGTATATTTACACTCGCAGCTTGCGGAAAATTACAACTTCACTGGTACATCAATGGCTGAATTGATCGAATCGCTCTATCACTTCAATTTCAACCGAGGTCGTTTGCATAATAAAACGGAAGTTGGTGGAATTGATGCAATTTTATGGCTTGGTTGCGGTAAAGCAAAGGGTAAAATAATGCAGGTATTGCAAGTTAGAATCTTCATCCAATTTCAGTTCGAATTTTTGGAAATAGAGCTAATCTTTCGTACTGTTGAAAATTTCACAAAAAAACCTGATCACTATTAGTGATCCTTAGAATAAAATTGCATATATTTTTCAACAGGTAGTTTAAATTGCGTTACAAGCTATGTTAAAAATAAACGAGCAAAATCTGCGAAGAGATCTTATTGTTATTGTTTGTGCATTTTAGTCAGAAGTAGCATACGCAGGTGAATTTTCTCAGCCATCATACTCTTCATCTGTCAAAAGACCATATATTTTGTCTTTGCGACTGGCCGCTTTTAACGGTGTGTTCTTGTTTTTCATACTTAAAAACAGCTGAAGAAATTCTTCCAGTTTAAGTTCCTCTCTCAAACATTTTTATCGATTTTGTGTCCCCTTTGTTTATAGAACTATGTATTATAATTATATTTGCCAATTGATCTTGACAAAATTTTGTTTCAGATACTAATGATGCATTAATTGATTATGTTTCTGTTGAAATTACACAACTTGAAATGTTAGCTGATGATTCAGAGTTGAAGACAAAAGTAAGCAGTTCGGTTGCCTGTTTTTGAAGTCTATTTATGATCGCTCTTTGATATGTTTGCTGTTTCTTTTTTTTTAATTAGTAATTTTTTTCAGTAGTTTTCTCTTGTTATATGCAGTTTCCAAGACTTTATTTTTTCGAGTTTTGTAGGTATTAACCACTTTTCTGATTTGATTCGTCCATAATGTTTTAAAATTTTCTCAGCTACCCGAAGGATTATACTGCACTGGTTTCCCGGAAGCCAAAAGTCCGATCATGTTCCCGAAAAAATTCGAAATGTCCTTTGATTACATTGATGTTGACGGCAAAGTTGTCCACGATATCGATGTAAGTTACAATAAAGTTTATCTGACCTGTTATCCGTGAGCTTTCCAAAGATTTTGAAAAATTGCGAAGAATTTTTTTCTTAGCTGACTAAAACTCCCGTGACAAGTTCTAATAATATTGTAAAAATCAGATTCTCAAATTAAACATACACGCTTCGATTTTTTCCTATTTCACAAAATGTTTTTCTTCCACGTATCCAATATTTATTCAGATGTACTACAATGGCAATGAGCGCATATTTTGGATGCGTTTAGATGCTCGAGCAGGGAAAGACACCCCTTTCATGGGAAATGCAACAATTCCCGAAGGACTGAGGAACATTCATGTTATTCACGATTTTCAATACGGTAAGTTGGCGAAATAAAATTTCCGGAGATTTTTTCGAGTATATCAAATTTAAGAGTTAAAGGAATTAATTAGAGACTAAACTTTTCAGAAATCTAAAAAGTACAACTGCTTGCAGGTAATTAGTTGTTAATCAGAATTTTCAGTTATCTTGTTTGTTGTATTATCTGAATAAATTAGTAATTTAAAGTAGAGATAATCTATATAATCACTTGGCGTTTTGTACTTTCTTGTAGTCGAATGCAATGCATGAATATTAGTGAATAAATTAATAAAATAAGTCGACATAATGAAGGAGATATATAAATGAAAAAGTAACTTGCAGGACTTCAGTATTTGTTGGATGGGGAGAATAATATTTGTAGCTCTGTATCAGCAATCGATAAAAATTTTGGTGATGTTCAAACGATGAATGAATCAACGAAAGAAATTGAGTTGAAGGAACCAGCTCATTTGTTCTTGAGCTCCAGCAGTTCGGTGTTCTATTATGCGGGGAAGGTGAAGACTTTGCGTGTCCTCATTTTGCAGAATGAAATAAGCCAAAATATCTGACTTATAAACTTCACTTTAAATTAACAAAATCTTTCAGCGAATAGTAGATGACATACCACTGGATGTTTATGTTACGAAAGCCAATAATTCACTTACAACTTCAACAGTTATTGAAATGCTTTATACGACGGAAAATTGGGTTGTGGAAACAGCTGTGGCACCTTTCCTTCATTCAATAGTGCAGTACCATAAGGTAATTCAAAAATTAAAATCAAAATGAGAAGTATTATTTAAAAATAATTTTTATCCGAATCATTAGTTGGTTGTATAATTGTTAATAAAATTTGATTAGTTGCACGATTTCGGTTGATGAATATTCGTCAACAACTTTTAGATGCATGTTCATTTTTTAGGACGGATCAGGCAAGGAAACGAAGACGATAATTCGTCTACATTCATTCAAAAATGATTCAGAAGCTGGAGTTCAGCAAACCTCACTTTCCATCTATCCATGTCTTAAACTTGTTGAAGATAGTTATCTGCATATTAATATCAAGAATAGTAAGCAATCTTAGAATTTTAAAGTCGTTTTTTATATTGGGACTGAAAGCATCATTTCCATCTATTTTTATTTAGATTATTTTTTATGTATATCGTTGTTCTTTTAAGCGACGCTGAAAGATTTGGAAAGTTTTGGGATTGGAATAGTCCGAGAAGGTTTACGTGAAGCCGTGGCGCATGTTGCAAATGTTTCTGTGCTCCGAATTGCTAATTTCTTCGTTAGCTAATCATTTTTTTGAAATTTGTTCCAGTTATTTTAATCCTTCGAAATCCTTACAAATTTGAAGCTTTGATATTTACATGGAAAAATTTTTGCAATTGTTTTGCTTGATAAAGATTTCTAGTTAACTAGATTTATAGGGAACAAGATTCATCGTTTTTACGCTTGTTAAAAGTATTTAAAAGTTCCATTTCAGTTTAAGCAAATTCAAGAGAACGTTGTGGCATTCTTCGTTGTTGGTGAATCATCAGGTGTTAAACCAGCAAATACGTGGAATAGATCTGTAAGTTTTTATAGATTAATTTGGTTTACCATTCCTTGTAATACTACTGTCTGAATTTTGCTTAATATTTTATGCAAAAGTAAACACTGGTAGCAAAATTATTATTCTGCCAAATGCGATTAAATGATTTCACTTTATTCAACAAGAATTAGGATCTTCTAACTTTCGCGGTGTAGGGCTGTTCTAATACCGTTGAAGAATTGTGCACTATTATTACTGTCCGCTGTTTTTTCGTCAAGATCCTGTAATGAGTTTTGGTTAAGATTAAGTTTCGTTGATGAATTCTTTGAAACTCTCATTATTTCAGAATGAGACAAGTGCTGAATCAGCCGTTAACCTATTAAATGCGACGCTGAGGGAAAAAGATATCAGATTCCCTATTTTCGTTGGTCATCGGATGGTGGTAAGGACTTCCTTTTTTCCTATATAATCACAATAATGGTTTCTTTATGCTAAATTCTATATAAAAGTTGCGTAATGGTCTAGGTCTAGAATTTTACCATCCTGCACTTTCATTACAATATCTATATTAAGTTTTATTCCATAACATATTTTACATAGCAACAAAGAAGTTTTTTAATGAATTATGCTGCTCATTCATCTAACAATCTCGACTATAAAATTGTGTGGGCTAGACTAGATGAATTTATTGACTTCTGGAATGTTCCAGTGCCTACTTTTGCTAACTAAAAAGGTTGTCCATATCATTTCTTTTGTTGATATTGTTTTTTTTTAGATGCTCAGTCTTTCAAAAGCAAGTTTAGGCACTATCCCAACAACTTGGGGGATGTTGCCAGCACCTGCATTTCGTGGTTATACAGGTGGTTCGATGTTTGTTCTTGGTTTATTCATGCTTTTACTTGGTGCAGTACTTGGTGTTGGCATTGTGTACTTTATTTGGAAGCGACAACGTTTTACTGGTCTTGCTTACCAAGTATTTGAGTAACAAGTTCATTTAATTTGTTCAGCTGATGTTTTTCTTCTTTTGCTCAATGTTTCTCTCCTACAAACAAGACTCCGAAAATTTTATTTGAATCATTTGAATCAAAGTGGATTTGGCATTTTTTCAAGTATCTTTTGTTCTTCAAAACTTTTATTCTTTTGTATATCCTTTATCACCGTCACGAAAGTTTTTTCCCCTGTTTCTTTTTTTGTACTTCAAACATTCACTTTAGTTCGTGCAAGCTTTAAAGCGGCCATCTCCACTCTTCATTATCGTTCATGTAGATCAAAGCCAACATGTTAGAAATATCACTTTTTCGCTTTCTCTTTTCGAATCTCAATCCCGGGTATAGTGTGGTTTTATGTAGTTTAAAACCTATTAAATAAAGTTTCACAATCAGTATCATCTGTTTATATTTTTCGGATTTATCACTTCAAAATCCTATCATCCATCTATTTTTATATATCATTTATTACTTTTGCACAATACTGGAAAAGGCATTAGTAAAAATTGTAAATTTATCCTTTAACGAAACCCAATCGAATAAAATGAGAACTTGTGGAACCGTAGAAAGGTTAATCATGATTTGTACATTCGTGCAGTATCCCATTCTGTTTCATACTTTGTCAGCATTTGACTTGTTTATGACTACAGTAACTCTTATTCATTCCTCGTAATGCTATGTAATGTTTTATTACTGCTCCAACAAATTATATCGGTATTGGTGTTCTAATTAATATTTATTTTATTGGAAAATTCGAAAGTATTTTTTATCTTTTTCGGATTTAATTTTCATCAGTTTTTCCTATTTGATCATACCAGCAACTAAATTGAAAGGTTTCAGAAATTTAAGTACTCTTATGAGCCAAGATTGATGCGAATTATCATACACTCATTGCAGTTTGAGGAAATTTGGGAGTGAGAGTTACTTGACTTCTAGATTTTGTCAAGTAGGTTGTGATTTCTAAATTATTGTTCAAACTGCTTTTTAATTGATGGTTCTTGTATTAAGGAGAAGATAAGCGTCCTTTACTGATTATATGTTTTATGAGTCAGCCTTTATTGAATTTTTAGATTGTTTATGGTTTTTGGTAAAATATTCATTATTAATATCAGCACTTTTACACATACAGGGGTGTTTTTATCATTAATTATCAATAAACATTATTTGTCTATCTCGGTCAATTTGGGAAGCGGTACATAACCGGTACTTGAAGAATTTTGAAAGTATACATGGCTGATGAATTTTGTTAATTAAGCTCTGTGATATTAATAAAATATTTACTGTGTTCTAAACAGATCAGTTTGTGAATATGGCTTCAAAAGTAATTAAATCAGCACGTGAACGTGCTTTGCGTTACGTGGAAAATGCAAGCCGTTTGCAGAGACAAGATCTTCGGGATAATCCTGGTGCTAGGACTCAGGTATGGGATTCTTTTTGGTTCAAGGTTAATAGGTTAATACGATTAGCAGTGAATTGATTTCACTTATTTTTTCTCAACAGAAATAGATTCTTTTTTCCCATCTTCTGCAAAAAGAAATTCCAACTTTTTTCGTGAAGTTTCGTTTGAGAAGTGGTGATGTTAATTTTTTATAACCAGGGCAGCCAGGGAAAATTTAATATAGTTTTTCGGGTTTCAATGAAACCTTGACCATCTCTTCGGACACTATTGGGTGATGGGATATGTAGGTGCTATAGCAGTATAACTGTTTAAAAACTAATTAAGAAGCTATCTTTTAGTTCAAGAGGACGTACTTTTTAGTTATAGTTTGAGTATACTCAACGATTAACACTGAGTTTTGATTTAATTTTTCTTAGAAATGATCAGCCAACGACAGAGTTTATTTAAGGCTCGTCAGATAAAGTCTTCCTTGCATAATCAAGCAGGTCATACAATCGGTGAGCTTCAACATGCTGCGAAACCTCCACTTGGATGGATTTGGGGTAATTTTTATCAACCATGGCAACGTCTTTTTCCTGGTGACGAACATTTTAACGGTGATATTAAGTATGTCATTCCGTAATTTTTTATTTTCAACTGATTATTTTGTTATCGTTATCTAAATCATCGTGTGCCCTTACCATGTCGGAACTCACACTGTTTTTACATTTCACTAAGCATTTGATTGGAAATGAATAATTAAACTCTTAGCATAAGTTGACTTTGAAAGGTGAATTCAAAATAACTTTTCTGGATACTTTTCGGCACTCTTACTTTTCTACCCAAACCTTCGCCGCTTATTTTCCCTCGTTCTGTTTTCTAATACCATTTTCTATTTCTTTTCTTTTTTTATTATGTAAAAAATGCAGTTTTTCTTGTTTTGAAAGGAATTTTGCTAGATTTTGGCACATTTCAGCTTACGACGCGAATATCCACCGTTATCATTGGTTGAGCTGCAACGACTAATTGATTTAGGTTGGCTAGATACTTCATCGTTAATCGATATTACTGCCCTATGCAATACTCGAAGATACCATTGCAAACCTTCATTAAGACAGTTTGGAGTACAGCTAACAGATCAGGTAATGGTACCTGTCTTCGTATTCCTTGATAGCCAAATTTTACATTACATTTGAAGTCGTCCCGAAATCTATTTTTTTAAACCTACTTTCTTTCGAAAATGATAAGAATTGTCTCAGGAACTCTGGAAACTGACAGATTTTCAATTCCCAAGCAAGTTTGAATGGTTCGCTTGTTAGGTTATGAAACGGAATTATGATTCCATTTTGACTAATTCAGTATCGTGTATTTAAATCGTTTTAATATTTTAATTGAAAAACCGATGTTCCAATCTTCAAGAATATCTTTCAGGGTGCTGATTGTTTTGCAACTGCTGTAAATCTGGAAGTACAGTGGGCATCAGAAACTGCAATCGCAGCCGTGGAGAGGGTCGGCGGTAGAATTAGGGTTGCATATTACGACGCAGCAGCTTTAGAAGCAGCCGTCGATCCAGAAAAATGGTTCTTATCAGGTACAAAAGAGAAAAAGAGACCCATCGAGAACTTGAATTTCTAGCTTTTGGTCTTGACTCATCAAGGGAGAAGCTGATAGTTTCAAACTCCAAATTTTATTCTACTTATTTTAATTTATAGTCCTTTATTAAAAAGGACTGTAATTTAAAATCAAAGTGGAATATTAAAAGGGACTTAATTAAAAAGTCGATTAATCGACTTCACTATATCATTGGTATTGCAACATTAGAAACTCTGGCCCACTGTCAGATTTTATTATCTTTATTTCATTACAATTAATTACAGGTAAGCCTATACCACGACGCAAAGCTCCACCTGAAAGTCTTCTTTCACTTTACATCGATCCTCGGCGTCGCGGTTATCTGGCTAATTCAGAAGATTTGATCAAAGCTGAGGAGGACTTGGCTCAAATTATGGGATACGAAAGAAAACCTGCTCGAGAGCAATGGGAGGAAAAAAGGCCTGATCAACTGTTTGTTGGGATTCCATCGGGTTCAATAGTTAGTCTAAAAGATAAGAAATGTTTTGCGCCAGCACATCCCGTTCTTCAGAAATATTATGGAATTGATGGCGATGCAAGAGAAAGTTTTGTTGCCGATCATTCTTACGCTACTACTTTTTCATCAACATCAATGCGAAAAACTGATTTGATAAATTCATGATTTAATAAGATTATAAATACGATATTTCCCAAAGTCTCATACGGATGCAATAAGATACGAAAGAAATGTATCAGTATATGCTAAAATAAGATACGAAAGAAATATATCAGTATATGCTAAAATATTTCATTTACATTGTTCGCCGATTAATTTACATTGCTCACCATTTCGTTGTCCTCATTGATTTTGGGCAAGAACATGAAATTAGTAAGACATTGTAAGTATTAATTGCTTTACCGCTAAGGATCTGTATGTTTTAAGGGTTAAAACACATTGTATCCGTCCTCTTCGGAAATCAAAAAGAAGATTGAAATAATTTCTCCCACCCAGTTTCTATTAGATTGACTTGGGATTACCATGAGAACCACATCATCTCGAACGGTTTTTATAATTTCCAAATTTTCGAGATTCGAATAAGTGTACAAGATCCAAAAATTTCATAATAACAAAGTGTAAATTTCAACTATAAATATTAGAAAAGTGATAACAAAACAGAAAAAATTATTAACAATGGAGGAATTTTTCTCTCTGTTATTCAATAGTAATAATTCCTCCTCTTTCGGAAGCCATTCCTTTCTCCTGTAACATTTTAAAATTAGCGACAAATAATAGAAACATAAGCAAATATTACTGATAATCTATCGTTAATGATAAAGGATTATTAGGGAAAGTTCTTGTACCCCTGAAAGATATAATGTTACGATATCATTGACAAGAGAATGACATTTCTCAACTTTCGAAGTTCTATATTTTTGCTTTAGAGCTTCATTTAAACGATATTTATTGTGTGAAAAAGATTGCCTCTCTGAAGCGTAGCGATAAGATTTTCATGATTTCTGCAGGCTTCACACCAGGTTTTCGTTCTCTTTTGAAGTTTTCTTTCACAAACTGTGCAAATGTGTTGGCTGACCTTGTCGAAAATTCCTTCCCATCGCGTGATCTCAGGATAAAATGTCCCTGACAAATGCCACAAATTTTACGATCAGTATCAAGTGATTTCGAATGGCGTTTAATTCTGAAATTCGATCAGATATATTCAGGATGCAGTATTATATTAATAATGTTAGCTGTCAAATCAAACGAATGTTTAAAAAAAGAATTCAGAATAGTATATATGCTAAATTCATATGATATTCTCGTTACTTCTACATCATCTTTTTTTTCAAGCTTTGAAATATCTCATTTAAATCTCTACGGAAATAATGCGAATAAGACTAACGTTTGTCCACATTGATCACAAATGTAATAATATTTGGCATCAACTGTGTAATTGTGACATCGTTCAATAAGTGGTAAAGATGGGAAAACTTTTTTACATTGATATACCCTGAAAACCGTGAGCAGTAATTCTGAAATAAAATTGATATGGAAATCACCAGTATGCTTGAATTGAACAGGGACGGATTTGCTATAAAAGTTTCGCGATTGCTTACACCGTTCTACATCCCCATTAACTATTTACATGAAATTTGCCATGTTCAGCAATATCTTTTTTCAAATATATGCCTACTTTTATAAATTGCTGTCCAACCCCGGCTTCAGTGATATAGCCCATATTTTATCATGAAATTTTTGTTTTTTATATTTTCTTTAAATTTTTTACTTTAAAATGTAAAATCCGCAATTCATGTCCCAAATAAGCTGTGAATTGCGGATATATGCATACGTCTGACAGGTGTAGGTGATAGCGTGTTCTCCAATTTCATTTCAATATTATCTAAAAGCCGGAATTAGAAAATCGGATATTAAGCAAAATCATTTTATAGAATAGCCATGATGTTAGAAGTTTAAAGCAGTGAGAGTTAAGTAAAGTATTATTCGATCATTAAATTACCAGTATTTCCATGCTGATCCGTGTCCACCCTTATGGATACGATCGATAACCCAAACTGCGGCATGGCACATTTCATGGAGCAGTGTATCACGTAGTCGTTCTACAATCAAATTTACTTCATTTGCTATCTCTTTTAAAAATCTGCTTAGTAAACTAATCCTTTTATTCTTTCTCATAGAGTATCATTCCTTGTTTACTCATCTATAATCAATGTCCTGTGTTTTATCATTGTCCCTAACTTTAAACTAAGAAAATCGGATAGATAGCCATTAATATGGGAAAATAAAGGTGTCACTTCATATGCCTTAGAATTAGTCGCCATAAGATCCCAAAATTAAGTAGGATCTTATGTATGAGAGATTAAAATTTTGATATGCTGTCAACAGCAAAGTAGTCAATGACTCACCAGGAGTATCACAAACTTTAATGGAAAGCTCGATGTCTGCTGTGCCGTTCGGTTTGCAACGACAACGACCAGCCGTCAGTCTTAAACGTGCATTCCATTCCAGCACCATATTTGGATCTAACTGGAATTTCTTAATTTAAAAAGTTGCTTTAAATTTAGTTCAAATCAAATTGAAAATTAAAATTTTTCCCCTTAAAAATTCACACTACAATAAAAAATCTGATCAGCAAAAAAATTTATTAAATTATACCTTATTTTCGAAACAACGTCTTCTGTACAAATCGAACAACTTTGCCGTCAACTTTTCTCTAATTCGTGGAAATTTAACTGCAGTATACTTTTGAGCATCCCGATGTACTGGTCCATTTTGTGAAAGAGCCAAAAGGAAAATTTCGTCATCATCTTGGCTCTGTAATCATTTATATAACTCTTCACAGTTTCTTCCAGAGTCGCTCGACATTATTACATTTTAAATTAAATCATTATAGATCGAAAAAAAGGTAAATTGACCTCTCTTTGAATGTTTATCGCACTTTGTGATTCTAAATGCAAGTTAGCATGTTCTTCTTCCATTTTTTCTGGAAAATATAAAAAATATCACTGAAAATTTTAGACTTGAAAGTTCTCCAAAATAGTTGTGATTGACAAAGTAAGCTTCTTCAGAGATCAGTTGAATATAGCATTTCCATTATTATATGATAAGAAAATAGATAAATATTTGAACTTCTAGAAATTTATGAATATGTACACTGGAAATATTACTTTCTATCGCTGGATGATGCCAATGCGTTGCATGTTCACTACTAATATTTTTTGCAGTGCTATGATGCCGAATCTTTTCATCTCCAATATTTTTCAATACTTCACCAATCAGTTGCACATCATCGGATTTGTCACTTGAGTTAGATTCACATTCTGAGCTGCTTTCAATAATGGATTCGCTATCAGACATGATAAACCTAGAAAAATAAATATCTAAATTCTAATTAATAGCCATTGGAAAGGTTATGCTAGCTAACAAATGCATCTAAAATTATCGTTCCAGTTCAACTGTAGTGATTTTGATCATTGTAAATTAATATTTAATGAAAAGTAATATAATCTGAAATGCTTGTAAACTTTATATCATATTTCAATAAATGTCATACACGTTCCCGAGCACCAAAGACGTCTTTTTTTTAAATATTCATATCGTTGATGGAAGAATTAGTTTAAAAAATTATTATTATGATAATTAGGACCAAAATAATTATTAATTTCTATTATACTCTATGCAATTTTATGTTTAATATTGAAAACAGTTTCGAGGACAAATAACGAAAAAGATGAAATTGTACAATTAAGAAAGACTTACTCATTCAAATCGTGTGAATCGTAAGTTTTCGTAACGGATAACTGAGTTTTGACTTCTTCCAAGTCTGAAAAACGGAATTTTGTAAATTCTCATCTCAAAGCAACGAAAAAAAAGACATTCGGTTTTTTTGATAATACTAGATTACATAAATGAGAAGCCCGAACCATTGCATCAATATAAATATCATCAACATACATCATCAATATATAAAGAAGCTACACTACTCACACTTGACCATTGCATTAATCGATATGCAAATTTTTTGGGAAATTTGTAAGTTACGTAAAAAATTCAGGAGAAAGCTTTATAGAAGTATATTTTAACGTACATTTTTCAAATTCATCATTACTATCCTCATCAAATTCGCTAGATTCACTGCATATTTTGATATTATCATTGTTCAACGAAGTCCTGAAAAGAAAATCCAGAAAACTCATAATGATGTATCTATCATTGTCAGTTTAGAATGGATCTTTAACCTTCTGTTTTAAGATATTAATCTTTAATTCTAACTCATAATCTCTTGGCTACTATCTTCTTGATAAATTAATTGCATTTATTAAATCATTGAAGAGATCATTCTTTTGAAACAAAATATTTAGTAGCTTGCTCTATATCGATTATGTTATTCTTCATGCTTGTACAGTCTGGGGTTTTTTTTGAATTGTTAGACTGTACTTTGGTCCAATTTCATGCTTGCTTATTCTTATATTAGAACATTTTATTGATTCAAAAATTACTCCTTAAAATCCACGTTCTCCTTCAATTCCGGATATAATTCAAATAATGTTGATACTTTTTTATTATCAATGCTCACATCCGAAAGATCATTTCGAAAAAATGATGAAATTTCCGCGGTTCTCTGCAAAAAAACATTATCAATAAAAGACAATATCATTTGCACTTATTTAAATACTAAAATACTAAATACTAAATTTAAAATTTATTTAAATACTAAAATTTATTTAAATTTAAAGTTTATTTAAACACTAAAATACTTTTGGAAGTATTTCAAATGTGATATTTGAATCAGTAAAAATCAAATAAATTTTTTATCGGAAAAAGTCTCAGTCATCTTTTTTAACTCGTAAACAACCTTATCTATTTCTTTTGGTACTATTTCTTGCTGTTGTTGACCACAGGTGCTCCTTTTCTTTTTGAAATATTGTTCATCGCTTGATGTATTTGAAAAATTCTCTGGAAAAAAAGGTACTAGCATTTATTTTTAAATTTCAGCATCATAATTACCCCTGGATTTAATTTAAGCATTAAAGTGCTAAAAATCAAATGTAAAAATAAAACCTTCAGAAGTATAATCCTTAATGACGAAACTATCTTCCAGATAAGTATCCTCATCAATGCTTGTTGCTTCATCATCCGTACAATCAACTCGATATCCGTAAGTGTTTCGTTTCGTGAAATTCAACGTTTCCAACAGATAGCTTACATTTCTGCCAATTTGCTTCATTTTTTTTTTAAATTGATCAATTTTGATAAAAACATAAAATTGTTATCAGAAATCAAAATATGATTTCTTTGAAACGAAATTTGAATTTCATAACTTAATTTAAATTAATCTCATATTTTCATCGATTCTATTTAACTAATTCGTTGCTACTTTTCCGCCCAAAAATTATAAATTAGCGCATAATTCATCTGAAGTGATGATTAAGGTAGAGTTACTGATTTGTGATCTTTCAAATATTTATAATCAAGGTAGATTACTGATTTGTGATCTTTCAAATCTTTACTTTAAATTAGTGAGATCATTGAATTTGTTTAGTTTAAAATAAAACATTAAAATATTTTTATATGAAAAACATTATCTTATTACAATAAACTTACTGGATATCGATATTGCTATTTTCATCACTTTCATTGATATTATCTTCTGTTTCATCAACATCTCTATCGATATCATCATCCTCATCATTATCATCATTATCACTCGATGAATCATCATCAATAACAATTCGTCGGTATTGCGACATGCTATATATAGCTTTACCTAATTGAAATTTTTTTTTATTATTAATTTAACCATATTCACATTTATACATCGTTATCATCAGTTATGAATCATCTTAGCTATAGTACAATATGATATATTATCATTTTAATATCATTATTATCAACGATCAATACTCACTCATTGCGATCTATATGATAATTATTTCTCTATCACTCATTTTTTTCTTGTCAATAAATTATTAGAAAAAATAAATTTTTGCAAGAAAATTAAATTTTAATTTTCGTCATTCATCCCTTTTATCATATTACTTATCGTCTACCTATCATGTATCAATTATTAATTTTATCATATTACTTATCATCTACCTATCATGTATCAATTATTAATTTTGCCATATTACTTATCATCTACCTATCAATTATCAATTATTAATTTTATCATATTACTTATCATCTACCTATCATGTATAAATTATTAATTTTATCATATTACTTATAATCTACCTATCAATTATCAATTATTAATTTTATCATATTACTTATCATCTACCTATCAATTATCAATTATCAACTATTCCACCCCAACAATATTCAACTCTCATCGCTTTTCATCGTTTCTTTTCAAATTTATTCTTCCCGCCTTGCCTGTCGTAACGAAAGAGCGATAATGTATAAAAGCAGTCACTACCATTCTTTTTTTAATTCACCTTTTATTATTACTAAAATTTACCTTTTCTTTTATTATTTTATAGGTCAAAGTTCAATGTTGTTAAATTTAGAATTTTAATATTTTGAAATTTAAAGAAACCGAATTAATTTTTAAAAGAAATATAAAACTTTTAGCATTAATCGAAGCAAAAAGAGGACATGAATTATTAAATTTTTGCTAATTTCACAGAAATTATTGCAATAAAAAGTAATTTACTTTTTAATTTTTTCAAAGATTAATTATTAATTAGCCATACGAAAAGAAAGAAATGATAATTTAATATCGGAAATGATAATCAATATCGAAAATGATAATCAATATCGGAAATGATAATCAACGTATAATTTGATTTATATTTAGTAGAGAAATTAAAATTATTCCTGGAAAACCTGTTTCTTGTTTTCTTGACAGAAATGATTGTAAAATGAAGACGAGTTGGAAAAACTTAGCTAAAAAAATACTAAACAAAATAATTATTACTGTTTAAAGTGAATCCATTAAATATGGGTCATAGGTTGAGGTCATTCGTATGTTTAAATTGTATTCAAAATAATCGTTTCATATTGATAAAATTTAAAATTACCCTTTAGCTAGGAAAAAAAAGAATAATTATTCGAAATTTAAATTTTAGGAACAAAAATTTAATATTATCAAACTTTTATAGAATGTGTAAAATTTTATGATAGCAAATTTAATTCAACCGTTTTGCATTATTTATTTTCATTTCAGTAAATTTACAACTTCAATTTTTACCTTATATTAACTGTTGTAAAAATTAGGATGAAATTTTGTTGAAATTACAAATTTACATAAAATTATTTTATTTTAATTTTTTTGTTGAAGATTATAAAAAAAAAAACGAATGATTAAAATTATTCCTAGGAAATGTCTCTCTAATCTTTTTCTAACCTTTGTTGCGTTGGAATTAATTGATCGATCATTATAAAAATTTACGACAATAATGTGATTTTAACCTTTGTGCACTGGAATTAATCGATCGATCATTATAAAAATTTAATAATAATGAATAATGAAATGAACGACAATAATGTGATTTTAACCTTTGTGCACTGGAATTAATCGATCGATCATTATAAAAAATTTAATTAATAATAATGAATAATGAAATAAACGACAATAATGTGATTCTAACCTTTGTGCACTGGAATTAATCGATCGATCATTATAAAAATTTAATTAATAATAATGAATAATGAAATAAACGACAATATTAATGTGATTTATTGAACGGAACAATCATGTGCTGTATCCGTTACGTAAAACGAAGAAAATGTTACCTTTGACCGTTAACCTTTAATGTTCAAGTTATTTCAAGGATATAACATACAGTTTTATTAACACTAAAATCTATTATCTTTTCAAAAGTATTGTAATATATTTTTGCATTTGATGAATTTTTCTGTTAGAAGAAAAATTGGAAAAAGATTTTGTTAAAAAGTATAATTAAACCTTTTAATTTTAATTAATTTTAGTAGCTTATAATTTGTAAGATTGATGGTGAAAAAAAATGATAAAAATTATGATAAGAATTGGAAATGATAACAAATGATAATCTGTTATCTATTTTCAGTATAACATTAACATATATCATCTATAGTAATTTACTATATAATACATATAATAATACATATAATACATCATTTATAATACATAATGTAGTAATTTACTATAATACATAATTAATTTACTATAATGCATAATATAATTTAATATAATATTAAATTTCAATTATCTTTTCATTTTTCTTTATTTTTTCATTAAAAACTAATTACCGATTTGAGAATGTACGAATGCCATATATCGGTGTATAATGCTTCACAACGACGTTCTTCTGATGATACAAAATCGGATTATTTACGTTGGATATCTGAGAAACCGAATAATAGAAATTTCAAAGATAATAGCTGTGTGGTGGTGATGGACGTTATGGATGATGGATACTGACAGAATTGAACATATGATGGCAATAAGGAAAAAAGGCTTCGGGCAGCTGTTTGCCAAACAAATTCTGGTTTTTGTCAATCTTTTGATAGTAAAAGTCATAAAGAAGTTGTAGAAAGTTGATGAAATGGATGTCTAATGGGATACAAATATTTTTCAAGCACAGGGAATTATTATATGGTTTAAAATTTTGTGTTTTTAAAATTTGCACGAAAGATTGTCTTGTAATATAATTTTATAAATAATTACACCTATTCTTTCAGGTGATAATAAGGTATGAAGTAATGGGCTAAAGTATAATGAAAAATTTATGTATTTTGTAAATATTGGAAGCATCATCGATTCAAATGAAGAAAATATATTTCCAGGTAAATTTAATTAAATTTTTAATAATTTTTTTTCTCTAACTTCATAGAAACTTCTTTCCTACTTTCTACTTTAATATATATATTTTTCTAACTTTATATAAACCTGTCAATTGTTGATATTTTTTATTCGCCTAAGTAATATAACCTAAGTAATATAGTAACATATGGTTTGATCACATTCGTTAACTTTTTTCTCATTTGGCTCGATCACATCCGTTGGCCTTTTCCTCATTTGGCTCGATCACATTCGTTTTTTTTTTGCACTTGGCTCGATGATATTCGTTAACTTTTTTCTCATTTGGCTCGATCACATTCATTGACCTTTTTCTAAGAAATGATTGGAGGTGCTTCCGATAATTCTGACAAACTTATAGAATGCTTCTTCATTGCATCATTCCACTATGAATGATACAATTACTATTTCAATTAAATTTTACAATAATCTTTATCAATTAATAATTTAGTGATGTCCGGTGCGGTTGCTTTTATTATTTGTCTTGCAGCAATATTTTCTACTGTGCATTGTTCAAAAAGTTGTTTCTTATTTCTATCTTCGAAATGATTGTTTCATTTATTTCTTTGAATATATTACAATTCGCACTAAACAAATCATATTGCTTTATTTCTATTGAATTTGTAAAGTTTATTAGTCAAGCATTAATCGGCATAAAATGATCACATTCAACGATGTTATCAAGATGTTGGATTCTGCGGGAAGCCGTTTATACTCTCTTTTTTGTTTTTAATCTGCGAATGATTGGATTCTGCAGAAGCCGTTTATACTTTTTGCGAATGATTGGATTCCGCAAAAATCGTTTATGCTTTCTATTTTTTGTTTTTAATCTGCGAACGATTAGATTCTGCAGAAGCCGTTTATGCTTTTTCTTTTTTGTTTTGAATCTGCGAACGATTGGACTCTGTGAAAGCCGTTTATGCTTTATCTTTTTTGTTTTGAATCTACGAATGATAAAATTTGTGCAAACACACGTATGAATTGTAACCTAACGTAAGGATAGAAAAATGATCATTTGAAATAGATAATTTAGGTTTCTAATTTTAGGAGAAATATGTGAACGCAATTACTATATGAAAAAAATTGGAGCATATAATTATTGCTATAGAATGTATGTAATCGATAAAGCAGTTAGTTAGCCATTTGTTATATTCATTTTTCTTTCAAATTAGATAATATAACAATTTATAAATTTAAACCACAAGTAAAGTAGCTTAATTTAGCTTAACTATGATAAAATTAGACTATTAATTGTTTTAAATGTTAAGCAAATTACAATTCGATTTGTATGGTAAAACTGTAATTTGTATAATCTTTTAAATTTGATAAATTTCAAATGATAAATTTTGAAGGATACAATTACAACAGTAGATGAAGATTACTGTCAAGAAACATCACCCTTTTTAAACATTAACAGTATTTCGATTCGTAACAAAGAGGAATATGAATTTGTTAAAATGCTTCATCAATGTATATTCTTAATTTTAATTCGATATCAAAGAATTAAGATTTAAAATATATATTTTGTTTTTTACTTCCTTTATATCGCCAGCCGAAATTTTAAATCAAATTATGATTTTTCAAATTTTAATTTTATTTTAAAATTAAACGAAACAATTTGATATTCATCAATGTTTAAAATTTTAAATTAATTAAATGTTTAAAATTTAAATTATAGTTAGATTTACAATTTCGGCTGGTGATGTAAAAGTAAAAAACAAAGTATATTTTATCATACGGCACTACTAGTTATCTTTTTACTGTCAATTATCTCGAGTTATCTTTTTACAATCAATTATCTCGAGTTATCTTTTTACTATCATTAATCTCTAAAAGAAGTAAAAAATGAAGTAATTTGTATAATCTTTTAAATTTGATAAATTTCAAATGATAAATTTTGAAGGATACAATTAAAACAGTAGATTTTATTTTATCACAGGAAACTACGAGTTATCTTTTTACTATCAA